CTACAGCTTCTTCGTGTTTAAAGAAGTTTAGTCGGTCTCACTGTTGGCATCAGTTCCATTTTCAGCCTCATCAGTCTTCAGATATCTCTGGATGTTCTTCAGATATCTCTGGATGTTTTTCAGATTTCTCTGGATGTTCTTCAGATATCTCTGGATGTTCTTCAGATATGTCTGGATGTTTTTCAGATTTCTCTGGATGTTCATCAGATTTCTCTGGATGTTCTTCAGATTTCTCTGGATGTTCTTCAGATATCTCTGGATGTTCATCTGTTGACTGCAGGGAAACCGTTCAGTCGTTAGATGTTTGCAGAGGTCGCTGTGCTCCGCATGCTCAGTGCACGGTGCCCAGGGAGGAGATGTGCACAGAAAACTCAGCCGTCTAGAAGAACGATAAAGAAGGTCCCATAGATGAACCTAAAAATAACCCAGCTGGGCGAGGATCTTCATCACTGCCAGGCAGAGTCTGGAGGCGAGCAGAGCGAGAACCTGCAATCATCTTCTTGTGACTCCAGAGCTTCTGTTCGGTTCCTAAAGTAGAACTGTGGTGGAACATGAAGTCCCCGAGCCGGCTGGGCTGCAGATGATTCATGAGTCTGGTGGTTTCTGGGCCCAGCTCCTCCAGGACTCAGTGGACTTTCTGAACGCTTGCTGCTGCACGCCGTGAGGAGATGCAGGTCTGGATGGAAACATCTGTGTCAGCGTTTCCTCAGTTTGAAGTCGCTCAGAAAACAGCTCAGTTTAATATTAACACAAGTTCTGTTAATAATTGATATTTAGACCAAAGACTTGAGAGTGGATGAATGTTTGTGATGAACCTGACCCAGCTGGACGGGCCAACCATCTCAGCTGATGCACACCTCCATCTTCTTGTTGTCATCACTCTTTTTTACTCCTCCTCTTTGTTCTCCTCTTTCACTCGTCTTTTAAATGAGCTGATCTGTCTCCGGACGTCACTAAGATGAAGAAGTTGCACCCTCGGGTTTAGATTTGCAGACGATGACGAGAACGCAGAAGAAACGAAGCTCCAGTTCCATTTTCAGAACAATGCTGATTATGGTGGCGGGCTGTGCTCCGCTCCTCCGTGGGCTGAACTCGGAGTTCATTGTTTTTCAGATGAAGGCTGCGTCGTGCTCCTCTTGGGGAGTCTGCGGCAGCTCCAGCTCATCGGCCTGACAGCGCTGTAATGAAGCAACGTCCCATCACCGCGGTGGACATGTGTCCTCTGTCGTCATGGCTGTCAGGACCCCGACCCGCTTTCATTGAATTCTGCTGCCCGAGGCGAACGCGTGACAGGAGGGCTGCATGGTTGTGGTTTGGCTGTGAAAGTTTGGGACTTTCAACGCAGCACGTCTCATTTTCAGTCGACTGCTGAGGCGATTGTTGGAGGTGCGTTCCCTTAAAATCCCGTTAAATTAAAATAAAGTCCGTTTCCGTGTCCTGGTTTGTTTTTGTCGCCTTCAGTGCTTCGTGCATCAACGCTCACATGAAAGCTGCTCAGCGTTGGTTTGCTGTGGCAGCTAATTAATGGGTTTAATTGAATATTAGCATGTTGTATCTTAAGAAATGGAACAGAAGAGTTGGAGCCTTGAGGATGTGTAGCCTGCACAGAGTAGGACAGGAAACAGAGAAGTTCTGAACACACACACTTGGTTCAGCTTCTGCTCGTCGCTCTCCCAGCAGCTTGCTGCTTCCTGCAGGTGCTTCCATAGAGCTTTTCTTTCCCTGCCTGGTCACCTTTGCTGCCTATCGCTCTTTATTTCCCCACACCACTTCTCTTTCCTCTTTGGGGGAGCGGTTGTGGTTGCACAGCTGAAGAAAGAAATCATTTCCCGTCGGCACCCCTGATCTGACGCCCACTGCTTCCATGTTTCCAGGTGTCACATATGCTGCAAAGGGCTACTTCGACGCTCTGGTGCGGATGGGCGAGATGGCCAGCAAAAGCCAAGGCTCTAAGGATCTTGGTGAGTCCTTGTAGTTGGCAGTGGTACCCCCCCCACCCCCCACCCCCCTCCGGTAGGGTCCAAAGGGCAGGGGTCTTGCACAAGCAGATGGAGGACGGTGTGGCTCATGCTGTGGAGCCTGATGACCAACCTCCAATTGGACATACCCAAACACAACCGTCCCTCCAGCTCCGTACGGTCAAAAATGTATAAATCCTTAAAAAATGTGTTTTCCAGATAAAACTATTTTAAAACTCAGTATGACCTCAGTTACTCCTCATCTACTTTTCATTTAGGAAAAATAAAACTGATTTGTTCACAAAAGTTTAAATCCACACATTTGATCCAGCTGAACCCGCTCAGACACCGTCAACATCTGGTTTTGGTCGGATCAGTTCTGGTTCTGCTCATGCAGATGTTCTTGTGACGAGGCTTTGACTGAAGCTGAGGACAGAACTGTGGGACCGGCCACACGGGGGAAAGATGTGTTGTAGCAGTTGATCCGGTTACGTGGCGGGGAGTGTGATGTTTGTCGTTCGTCCCGGATGACTCCTCCTTTCTTTGTCGCTCTGATGGATCATCAGGGTTCTGGTGCTGACGGGTCTGCAGAGGATGGAAGCTGAGAGCACCAGAGGCCGGAGCGCGTGTCTAAAAGCTGCGCTCGTTTTTCACGTGGAAACTTCTCCTGGTGCCTCCTGAGAGCTCCGGCGCTTCGTTTCAAACTCGGTCTTTATCTGGATGAATCGAGAACTTTGGTTCCAGAACTCCCACAATGAGAATATTTTAATAAACCTGAGGATCTGAAGTTTTCACTCATGAATAAATATATATCTAGATGTTTGTGTAAAAACGTCCGTCAAACATCTGTCGTCCTCAAAGTGTTGCTTTGATGTTTTTTCACCATCGTGCTCATGAAATTCACGACATCTGTAAGTTTGAACATTTACAGAAGTTTTGATTATTTTGGGGGACTCCCCGTCATCTGTGCGCTCCCGTTCTCATCGGCTTCGGGGCTTCACGCTCTCACTCTTGCATGACTGTGCTCTTTCTGGTTCCCTTTCTCTCTAACCATGACTCAGCGGGTCAGAACCTCTTCCTGCCTCCAGTTAAATGACAGAGCGGGTGGAGCAGAGCGGATTGATGCCGTCCTCGTTTGTCAGCAGGGTTCAGAGCAGAAGTTGCCTGGGGGGGTCTCACAGCTTTGAAAGTGGTTTGGTTCTGCAGAACGTCTTGGTGTCTGAGCAGCCAGAGATTGGAGCATGGTCAGAACCTGAACATCAGCTGAGTGGAAGCGCTGCTCGTTGTTTGAAACATGAGGCTGATTTAATCCACACCTGTTTGTTAGCATCATCTGTCGAGGAGGAGCTGGCAGCCGATCGAAAGCGTCTCTCTCAATAATTCAGCTGATTGATCCGTTGGCCTTCATGTCACGCTGCGAGGCTGCTCTGGTTCTCCAACCTCTCGATGTGCGTGTGCGTCGCTGCAGAGGAAACAACGAGGGCTTTGTCCCGTGGCACAGTTCCTGAACCCACCGGTCTGTTAACGAGCAGAACAAGCATCGTGTATTAGCGCGTAAAGAAACGTGCGTCTCTGAAGAGCGTGGCCACAGAATGTGCTCGTTACGATTAACGGCTCGGCAGATTTGTAAGAATCTTTACAAATTAATTTGAAGGAGAAAATGTCGTGCTGAAGTAACTGGGATGGGTTTGTAAATGGGTTTTGGCAGAACGGTTCTGCCCCGTCGGACTGAAACAACGACTCTTTACAGTTTTCTAACAAACAGCTTTAGTACATGAGCAGAGGACGTGGAGCGAAATTAGAAATGATTCTCTTGGAATCAAACCCTCGGTCTTGGTGTGGGTACAGATTCATGGCCTCAGATGGATCCAGTGGACGCATCTGGTTTAAACCACAACTGATCATTTAGAATTTGGCACTTTGGTGTTTCAGTGATGAAATGAGGCCTGTCACGATAAAAATTTACTTTGTTTCAGAAATTATTGTGATAAACGATAATATTGTTTGAAATTTGGCAATAATTAGTAATTGTTGTCAAATTTAAGAAGAAATGTTTAATTAGTTTTACATTTAGTACCATTGTTGACCACAGGATGGCAGTAAAATTCTGTTTGAACCGAAGGATGGATAGTGAGGGAGCGAGCAGCGTGTCTCTTTAAGAACAATGGGAGGGAGGCCCCTTGACGTGACATGGGCTGTCTCTCTTCGGTTCTCAAAATGGCGGACGCTCAGTGGTTTGAGCTCTTTAGCATTTTTCACACAAATCTTTTAATAAAAAATCAGTAAACAAGTTCTCAGCTTCTTTTTGCAGAGAAAAACAACTTTTTACACGAAGGCACGACTTTAACTGAATTTTGGAGCTTCGACAAGACGGAGGTTTTTCCCCCGAGGTCAGCCTGTTAGCTTAGCACGTAGCTTAGCTTCTCAGCTTAGCTGCTTAAATGGATTTTACAGAGAAAAGAGAGAGGGAGGGGTCAGTGAAGAGTCTTTTATTATCCAGTGTCTTCAGTAGAAAGAGAGAGACACGAAGAAGCGATAAAGCTGATAAATGAAAATGAGGTTGATCATTTTAATTTATCATGAGATTAACTGATTTATTGTTTATCTCAACAGGCCTAGATGAAACAGCAGCTGAAACGTGGCACACACTTTACATGACATATTGTTCTAGCTTGTCCTGAGCTGGTTCTGCTGGAGGTTTCTTTCTGTTAAAGGGAGTTTTTCTTCCCACTGTCTCCACTGTGCTTGCTCAGGATGGGAGACTGCAACGAAGCCAAGATTCAACTTGTCTGCTGGATTCCTTAGATAGAGAACTTTACTAACTGGCTTTTATGTGAATGTTTCTGTAAAATCCCTGAGACAACTTGGTTGTGATTTGGGGCTTTATGAATAAACTGAATTGAATTGAATTGAATTGAATTGAACTGAATTGAATTGAACTGAACTGAACTGAACTGAATAGTCCACAGCCACGTCACAGCAGACTGCACTGAAACTGAGTAATTTAGGATAAACGTGAAAATGGATCATTTGTCCCAGAATAAACTGATCTGAGCTCTGAACTGGTCACATTCCACCTCTGATGCCTCGAGGAGCTGGCGCAGGAAGTGGATGTGATGCCACAGTTTCACTCCGTTCTTGATTTACCCAAAGCTGTCAGAGTTTGACCAACCGCTCTGCTGCATGACGGTGTGTGAACACCCCCGCACTGATGTGGGAGCTCAGGCAGCCCTGGGAGAACATGCCGACTCGGCACTCGTTTCCAAAAATAGACTGAATAAAAACGCCTGAAAGCTGCTCTGATGGAGGGAGGAGGAGAGACGGAGTACGAAGCTCGAGCTGCAGCCCAAAGATGGCTTGTGATGTCACTACAACTGGAAATGGCTCTGTCGTCTTCCGTATGCCATATATGGGCATCGATGTGAGGAAAAACTAGGAAGCCCCTGCAGTTCCGGTTCCCCTCTGCCCATATAAGGGCTCCGGCATTACCGTGCAGTTTTGGGCAGAGGTGGAACCTCCTCAGGTCTGCAGCGGCACATAGACCTGAAGGAACGGGCAGGAGGAAGAGCATCGCTTCATTTTCAAATCATCCTCTGCTCTGTGTTCAGCTTTTCTGTCCCAGTGTTTCGTCTCGTCTGTCCTCTGGGCGTCTCCTAAATAAACTCACATCTCAAAAACAATCAGAGCGCTGTCAGCAGCGACGAACAAACAGATATAAATTTACGTTTGTTAAAGAAATGTAAGACATCTTGTCTGCAGAGCATGTTGGAGCGGACTGGGAGCATCAGCAGCTCATCTTTAAGCTCTTTGTTCTGTCTCCATCTCACATGTCCACATGTCCACATGTCCCTGGGTTAGTGTTGCAGAACAAATTACGTGATGGCAGCAACAGAAATATGAACATTTTCCTCTTGGAGCAAAAATAAAAACAATCCATGATCGAAGCTAAATCAAAGACTCCCAGTGAGGACTTTTAAATTTCTTTAGAATATTTTGACTTCGTAATACGTTCTGCTGTTCTTTGTGTCTCACTTGTCTTCTCAGTTTAAGAAAATAAAAGACTGGAGAGCTGACCCTGATTTTTCTGAGTCAGCACGTTCACATTTCCCCCGAGAGTCGAAGCAACTTAATTCAGTCATTTTCTCCGTGTTTGTGTTTTTCCTCGTCGAGTTGTCCCGCGCTCGTCCTTCTGCTCGGCTCCACGTGGAAACGAGGATTACACAGAGCAGCTTCTGGTCTAAAGGGTTTTAAAGTCAAAATAAGCTGCTTTGACAAGAGTTTAGACTCCTAAAGAGAGTTAAATACAAGTAACTTTTATTTATTGAGTCCCTGAAAGTCTAAATATTTCCCTTCTTTAGGTGTTTCTTAAAAATATGACTTTATTAAAAGTTAAAATATTCAAAAGTTTTGTTTTCAGACACTTTTAAATGTGTAGATAAAATCTGTTAGTGGAGGATAATGTTCCAGGTAAGACTTGGTTTTGACAAACTAAACATTTGATTTAATTTCTGCGCATGAGAATCCATCCAGGAGCCGTTTCATGAACTGGTCATACCTGTTGGACGTCACACCTGAGGTCTTGTAGTCAGGACCTCTTGGAGTCACACATGAATGTTGGAGGTGGCCCCCGCTGTTGAACACTTGAACCAGCAGGTGGTGAAATGAGCTGTTCAACATGCGAACTGGAGCTTGACTAAAACCAGCAGCTTCTCTCTTCTCCAGTACCTGAACAGACCTTACTGGGAGGCTAAGGGGAGTGATGCTCCTGTAACTGTTTCACACCCTCTGGTCCCCGTTTCTGAAGAGGGGAACCACCACCCAGTCTGCCAGTCCAGTGGCACTGCCCCCGATGTCCACGTGATGTTGCAAAGACGTGTCAACCAAGACAGCCCCACAACATCCAGAGTCTTAAGGACGTTAGGGTGGAGCTCATCCACCCCCAGAGCCGTGCTGACCTGGAGATTTTTAACGACCCCGGTGACCTCAGCCACGGTTAAAGTCCC